CCATGATATGACCTGAGCCGGATGCCACCGGGTCCGCTGAGCCACCCAGGTTCCCCCCGGGTGACTGAGCCACCCAGGTGCCCCTATATGCTTTTTAATTTCAAAGTGTCCTCTTCATCTTTGTGAGCTAGTTACCTACTACAAGGCATTAGTAATTCCTTTCTTTCAACTCCCTATATCTTGCTGTTTTCCTTTGTCCCCTTTGCTGTGAACCAAGGTACTTTAGCAGGGTGTTTCTGCTGCAAACCCAGTTGCTACTGCATTATGCAATGAAGTCAGAAGCCTGAGCTTGTGACATCAATATAGGTTGCTATGGTAACGCTTTCCATAAGTATTACAGGCTCTTCGTTGTAGGTTCAAAAGAGGACTTCGGCACAGTAGCAAAATAGCTGGAGTTATTCAGCCTAAATTACAACAATAATTGATGCAAAAAATGTTTTATGCTAACTATAATAAATACAGATTTTTATATTAAAAAAAAAAAAAAAAGGATACGTGTTGTTGCCGAAGAGCAGAGGCCAAGTGAGTATGTTAAAGGCATGGAGGCCTGGCAGCCTGAGAGATTTTTCAAGGAATGCCAGCTACATAATAGGGCTTAAGGAGAATGTGGTATTATTGTTAACCACAGTATACAGAAGATTCTTGTTGGGGAAAAGGAATGAAGACCTATACTAAGAAAGCACTAGGAAGGAAGGAGGGAAAAATGCAAGTCATTTTTATGAGGCAGAATTAAAGAGACCAGATAACTAAGTATGAGTGTGAGGGAGGGAGAAAAGGAATAAAATGTGACTTTGAAGTTCCTATTAACTATTCTGGCTGGCAGGGTAAATGGCAATCCCATTAATGAAAGTAGAGAATCCAAAGGGGGAGCCGGTTTATAAAGGTAAGTGTGGGCAGCATGAGAGAAAGCTGAAATCATGGGCATTGATGAGGCCACCCAGGGGGAAAAATAGCACCAAATGAGGGCTGGGGATGAGACTCTGGAAAAAATGTCAGCCTCGGAGAATCTTATCTACCACAGAAGCCTGGGAGGAGCATCCAAGGAGGGGGTGGCCAATAGGGAAGAAGGTTATGAATAGGTCAGGCAGAGTGAGGACTGACAAAAAGAATGTTTTGAAACAGTAAGCCAAAGAATGAGAGCTGAGAAAATGGGAGGCTGAAAGCATTTCCCAAGCCCAGATGTGAAGGAAAGGGCATGAAGTTGGTAGGAAAGATTTTTGTTTCCTTTCTTTTTAGACTAGAGAAGACATTTACCACATTTATACAAAGAAAACCAGCACTAAATGGTGATATGAGGACACAAAAACAAGATGGGAGATAGAGGACAGTCCAAGGTACAAGTAGAGTTCATTTAGAAAGGCAGAAGGGCACCTTTTCCTTGGAAACTACGTGTGAGAGCATAAATACATTTAGAGATCAAGGAGAAGCAGGCTGCCAAATTCTTTTTAAATTATAAAATAAATTCTAGGGGCGCCTGGGTGGCGCAGTCGGTTAAGCGTCCGACTTCAGCCAGGTCACGATCTCGCGGTCCGTGAGTTCGAGCCCCGCGTCGGGCTCTGGGCTGATGGCTCAGAGCCTGGAGCCTGTTTCCGATTCTGTGTCTCCCTCTCTCTCTGCCCCTCCCCCGTTCATGCTCTGTCTCTCTCTGTCCCAAAAATAAATAAACGTTGAAAAAAAAATTTTTTTAAATAAATTCTACAATCAGTAAATAGCACCTGAAAAATGAGAAATCCATTGGAAATACTCTAAACACAGATGTTGCAGTATCTTAATGCGGCTTACACAGAAAAAAATCCAAAACTGCAAAACAAGTCAATTGCTTATTTAATGAAAATCCACTTAGATATTCTAACAGTCTGTGTTTAAGCTTGCCAGTGCTAATTAATATAAAATTATAGGATTCTCTTTAAAAAAAAAAAAAAAAAAACTCAGCACCTATGAACCACTATCTGGAGATATCCTGGGTTCATATTTTGAATAAAAAAGGAATTATACCTTCCAAGTTTTCCTTGCTTACTGGTTAAGTACTTCTAAAGTATGCTATATGCTTATGGTTTTTAAAGTTACATAACAAATGTTTTGATTTGAAATCAAATTTCTGAGAAATATCAATGGTACTTGTGTGTTTACTCTTTTTCTTCTGCTTCCTAAACTATCCAGACCTCAAGTCAAGATTTATCTTGCTCGCCTTCTCATTTCCCAGGATCATTCAACTCAGAATTTTTATTTACATGACATCCACACATTTCCCATTTTGATTGTTCCAATAAACTTTATTGGTTTGCTTGGACACTACGTAAGTGAAATGACACACTGTTTCTAGCTCGGAACATGCTCAATATTTATGGGAGATTCTGGTTGTAAAAGAGACTAAGTCTTTGACAAGCTATTTACTTAGCATCATGACAATTCCATCACAACTACTATTACTGCCTAAATTCTACCATCATTTTGCCACTGGGATTGCTCTGCTTTCAAACAATTTGGATTACCAGTATTAATCCTTGACCTGAAGGTACATGATTCAGACATAAACCCCATGTCACATTAAACAATTATAAAAAATCCTAAGCATCTAATAATTAGAGCTGGTCTTTCAAAAAACAAAGTTCTATAATACTTTGAACATTCTATTAGTACTACACTTTGAAAGTTCTAGTAGTAGTACTTTGAAATAATTACTCGGTGCTTAATAGGAGGCAGACACTGTTCCACAAACTGGGGATTCAATAAACAAATGCTTAGTAAAGTCAGATCCTGATAAGTACGATAGACCAATATAAGGGAGGGGGGCATGGAGTGCTCATGTGTAGATAGTTGAGTAAGGCCTTGATCAGTAACAGCTGAGTGAATCCAAAGGCTGTTAAGAAGTGAGCCACGCATGTATCAGAGAGAAACAGGCAAGGCAGAGAAAACACCAAACACAAAGAGTCTGAGGCATGAGTAGAAGTGGTGTTTTTGAAGGGAGGCTCCAAATGCCTGGAGCTGAATGAGGAAAAGAAAACGGTAAGAGATGAGACAGGAGAGGGAGTGTGGGCCTGCTAATTTTAAGGACTTTGGTCTTTACTCTGTGTGGGAGTAGGGAGCCACTGGATGGTTTGAGCAGATGACTGACAATTTGACTTGTTTTAAAAATAATTATTCTGGCTACTTTTGGGAGAATAGACAGTAGGGGCACAAGGATGTAGGAGCGTTTTTGGAGGCTATAGGCAGATGATACGATAGTGGCTTAGAACAGGAAGTTGATAGTAGAGGTCAAAAGAGGTGGTGAACTTTGGATATATTCTGAAGGCAGGGCCTACCAGATTTGCTGACGGATTGGATTTGGGAGATAAAAAATGAAGGATGACTCCATGGTTTTGGACCTTAGCAACTTTAGGAGCATGGCATTACTATTACTAAGTTGGGGAAGACTGAAGGAGAAGCAAATTTGGGAGGGAAGATCAAGAACTCAGTTTTAGTTATGTCGAGTCTGAGCTTTAATTAGGTTCTGAGCAGAGATGTCAAATAATCAGTTTTGCATGCATAATGTAAGCTCCAAGTCTGGAGGTCAGGGGATAGGTCTAAGGGTAAAATTTAGGAAGAGGGCACGAAATTGGATGAGATCACAGTGAGTCAGGAAACAAGAAAGAAGAGAGGTCTAAGGAAACTTCTTCACCTTAAAGACATGGATGTAAAGCTAAAATCACAAGCAATTCTAAAGGTAGGGATTTAAGTCCGAAATGTAGAGAACTTCCCCTATCTTGAGAGCTCACTTCAACTCCCTTCTGTCCAAGTTAAATTTTTAAAGATTTTTGATTTACATATAAATTTAAGAAACTCAGGGGCACCTGGGTGGCTTAGCTGGTTAAGCATCCCACTCTTGGTTTCAGCTTAGGTCATGATCCCAGGGTCATGGGATCAACCCCTGCATTGGGCTCCACAAGGAGTGTGGAGCCTGCTTAAGATTCTCTTTCCTTCTGCCCCTTCTCCCAGCTCATACTCACTCTCTCTCTAAAAAAAAAAAAAAAAAAAAATCTAAGAAACTCCAGAAAACCCCTTAGGGGTCACCTTGGCCCATGGGTCTCAAAAATAATAAGTAATTCATTTTTCCAATGACATAGTCATTACAGGTTTCACCTTAAATTTGCTTAAAAGCAAATATCAGTTAATTCATTTACCTAAGAATACATTAATACAATATAAAAGAAGTATAAAAAAGTATATTTGGAAAAACTAGAGCCTTGCTCTCTCTCACCTTCTCATTCTGTCATGGGGAAATGGGATAGGACTCTAAAGACAGAATTCACACCACACACAGCATCAGGTCACATGTTTCAAAAGAAGAAACAGTAAGGCCCTTTTAAATTTCCATTTCAGAATTGTCCTTTTATGGTACTTTCTAGCTTTATATTCAATATACCCAAAGTTGTGTGTGTGTGTGGGGGGGGGGGTTAACGGGAAAATTGGTTTTATTCAATATTTAACACGTACTTTATACACTTATGTCAAATAATGATTTAGCCTAAGCTGAAGTATGTGCTAGTTTAATAAACCTTCATTGGATGTCAGACTCTATAGGGCATCCTAGCCTAGAAGTTCAGTCTGTGTAGATTTATCTACTCTTTGAAGCAAAAGTCTTCTGTAAATGCTGGAATTTTTCCTCCTCTTCCTGAAGTTAGGAAATGATTTCATCCCTCTCTTTCAAGCTGTAGCTTCAGCACTGAAGATTCATCTTTCATTATATCCTGACAAATTCTCTGCCAGCTAAACAAGGAGCTCCAGAGCCAAGATTGCCTGCCTGTTAGAGGAAGGCCCTACATCCCCAAAGTTTTATACTTCTCTCTGATAAAGAAGTTTTGAACTGTCATCTTTTAAATGAAAAACAAAACAAAACAAAACCCTATGTTATAGTCTCAGAGAAATATAAAATACTGTATCTATATAGGTAACATAAAAATGGTTACAAACATGTCAAAGGATTTAAATCTTGAGTAACCATTTAAATCGCACAAGTTACCTTAAAAATATTCAAACGCAAATGAGTCGCTCAATTGCTCACTCTGCATAGTGCCAATACCCGAATACTGACTATGAACAAAGCCATGACTGTTTGGATTAGTACCGTTTGATGGCCCTGACTCATTCATCATACTGTTATCTGTACAATTGAAATCAGATCCCTCAAATGCCTCGGACTGTGCAACAAAAGCCGTAGTACTGGAACTGGCGCCTGCTGACAGACTGGAAGAGGACATCTGATGGAGCTGTCTCAAGTCTCTCGGGTCTAACACTGAATTACATGAGGGGTTTTCAAGATTCATGCTCACAAGTCTTGGATTATCAGACTCCCTCATGCTGTCATTCATATTCACAGGGCAATTCGGTAGCATGTTGGCATCAGAAATACCATATAAATCAGCTGATGACATGGATGATGCTTCCATTCTGCCTATGTCATTAGCATTGTTATAAATGCAAGCATTAGAGGCATTCAAATCACTCACAAGAGGTATTTCCAGATATGGTGAGACACCTTGTGAATTAGAGGAAAGTGTCCCCGTTGAAAAACTACTCAGTGGATTTGTGTTGACTGAGCGTGAGGTGGGGTGGGCCCCTGAAGACCAGCTTGAAGGCTGAGATACCATTGCAGGTATGGCTGAAGTATGATGTGACAACGCACTCGAGATGGACACAGACGAGGAATAGTAGGAGTCTGCTTGGCTTGAAATGCCTGAGGTCCTGGACATATCTGTCAAAACTGCACCATGAGAAAAGTTGGATTCTGTGGGGAGGAAAATACATTTTTACAAAACTGAAATAAAAGTATAAAAAATATCTCTAAATTAAAATAGCATAAACACACTAATAAAGAAAACTTTCAAGGACACTGATGTAACAGTTTAGATAAAAATAGTAAATTGCACTAAAATTATTACGAGTCTAAAGCTGCGTTCTGTAATGCTGTTTTACAAATACCTTTAATTTTGTAAGTTATTTGGGCATAGTTAACTTCACTCCAGTTAAATATGAAAATCTAGCTTCTGAGGCCCTAGAAAGGTATTTTTGAAAAGTGAAAAATAAATCCCAGAATTTCAGGGGTCCTGGGCTGGCTCAGTCAATAGAGCATGTGACTCTTGATCTTGGGGTTGTGAGTTCGAGCCCCAACATTGAGCGTAGAGATTACTTTAAAAAATAAAGCATTAAAAAAAAAAAATCAGAATTTCAGGTAATGGGAATCTAAATAGCCAAAACCTTTCAAATTCACTATTTTTAGGAGAAAACGGAGGGATGGAGGAAATGCTCATTAGGGATGATTGAAAAATCCACATAACTTGGTAAGATCTATTAAGCTAGAACTCTAAAGTACCACATAATTCCCAGTCAGAAAGAAACTAAGGATTCTGTATTTATTTATATAGTATATGACTGCTATACATACTCAACCAGGAAAAAGCACTGATTTAAGAATGTTAAGGGGAACGAAAGACTTCTAATTAAATAACCCTGGTTGAATGATCTAAACCAGAGGTTCACAACTTTTTTTCTATAAACAGCCAAATATTTTAGCCTCTGTGGGCCATACAGCCTCTGTTAGAACTACTCAGTTCTGCCACTGTAATGCAAAAAAAAACAGCCACAGACAATATGTCATCAAATGAGCGTGGCTGTGTCCCAGTAAAACTTTAAAGATAAGCGACCCGCCAGATCCAAACCACTTCTTCCATGATACACCATAATTAAGTAAAATTACCACCATACGAACAAATGTAATTTCTCAAACAATGAATCCGAAAAACATAATCATAGTTTCCAACAGGACCTTAAATGGAGATCAATTCATTTAATATTCAAAGCATGAAATAATTTGTGGGAATGGAAAATAGCAAAGAAGCAGTTTTCATTCTTAAGAATGGAATTCCAATATACTGTGCAAAGCACTGATCTTTTGACCATTTAAGGAATAGTCTACAGGGGATGAAATACCTTTTTTGATGAATCGTCCTTCTCCAGTTGATCCTAGACCAGGTCTAGGTCTTTCAGGAAAATTAACTGTTGTGATAAAGTTTTTTCATTATTAAACGCAATTTTAAAAATAACATCAGTTAAAATTTGGAAAATGGGATAAAGTAAAAACCCCCAAATCTATTTAAATACAAATCAATCCAAAATACTCTTACCACAATCTTGCCACAGTTTCTGGAAAAGTAGAGTTGTTTTTTGTTTCTTTGCTTTATTGCCATAAGTATCTGGTTAAAAAGAAAGCAGGAAAGTATGTGAATCATCATAGGATTGTGCTGCTTCTCCTTCAACAACTAAATAGGTGTTTTATTCCCATACAGAAAATGCTTTAAATATACATATATAATATGGATTTAGTAAGTATTGCAGAATGTGTCCCAAGTCAGCAGTAAAAGGTATAATACTCATCTTGTTTTCTTATAACACCTATAAGTCAACAATGTCAACTAACACAATAAGGGCAGATTAAGGACCAAACCAAAATGAAGACCAGTTTCTGAGTGGCAAGTTTTCCACATATAAAAAGGGCATGATAAGGACAAAAACAGAACCTCAAATATAAAATAAATTTTGATGAACAGTGCAGATACTTTGAAACTATTCCAGATTCCTTTCTAAAGAAAGAGATGCAAAAGAGCATAAAGATCAAATGGTAAAAAATCAGCTGAAAACTTTCAGGAAATAAAATGTAAATCATGAATAAACACTACTGTATTCAAATGTATCTAATAAGAAAATGTTATTAGGAGAACTAACTTTAAGAAATATATATTGGGGTGACTGGGTAGCTCATTTGGTTAAGCATACGATTTCAGCTCAGGTCATGATCTCACAGTTCGTGAGTTTGAGCCCAGCTTTGAACTCTGCTGTCAGCGTGGAGCCAGCTTTGGATCCTCTCTGTCCCCCTCTCTCTGCCCCTTCCTCACTCGCACCCACATGCTTGTGCTCTCTTATTTTACTTAAAAATAAGTAAACGTTAAAAAAAAATGAAAGAAATGTATAAAACCTTACCACCAAGAAATCGTACCTTTTTCGTCTGGCAGATATCTAAAATCCATGGATTCACTGACTTCCTGGTCAGAAGGTCTCCGCAGCTGCATTTTTACTGTTACTGGTTCTGTTATAGCTCTGCAATATGGTGGAGTCTTAAAAACAATGGCTACTTGACGGTGTACATCAGCTTGTGAAAAGATACCTTTTGCTTCCCAATCGTTCAACACAAACCGAACTTCTATGTCATCTAGTGAATACAAAAGCAAAGAAATAGCAATGGGAAAACAAAATCCATCTGTTAATCTAAAGTACAGATTGGGGGCGCATGGGTGGCTCAGTCAATTGAGCTTAGGTCATGATCTCATGGTTTGTGATGGGCTCTGTGCTGACAGCGCAGGGCCTGCTTGGGATTCTCTCTCTCTACCCCTCTGCTGCTTGCCCACACATGCTCTTTCTCTCTCTAAATAAATATGAAATAAAATGGTCCCCAACTTACAATGGTTCAACTTAACAACCTCTTGACTTTATGATGGCGTGAAAGCAATATGCATTCAGTAGAAAGTGTACTTCAGATTTTGATCTTTTCTGGGCTAGCAATATGCAGTACAATACTCTGAAGATGCTGGGCAGTGGCAGCAAGCCACGTCAGCCACCTGATCAGGAGGGTCAACAACTGACACAACTGTTTTTCACTTTCAGTACAGTTTTCAATAAATTACATGACATATTCAATACTTTATTATAAATAGGCTTTGTGTTAGGTCATTTTGCCCAACTGCACGCTAATGTAAGTGTTATGGGCATGTTTAAGGTAGGCTAGGCTAAGCTATGATGTTTGGCAGGTTAGGTGTATTAACTGCATTTTCAATTTAAGATTAGTTTCAATTTACAGTGAGTTTATCATGGTGTAACCTCACTGTAAGCCCAGGAAGATCTGTATATTCTAAATTCAATGAAACAAATAAATACCTTTCTGAACTTTATCACATAGTAGAAATATTTCATCTCCTCCTCTGACACTTCCACAGTTCTTATTTACACGACAAATCCTTAATTCTGCAGTATTTGGAGCACCTAAACATAAAGGATTTTTTTTAATTAGTAATATTTTTTACTCGTTTTTTACGGTGAGAATTCTAGGAAAACAACTTACAGGACAGATAAAAGCTTTAGTGTATAAATAAATTAAGGACATTAAAAACATTAATAATCCACATCTGTCCTTTTCCTTTTTAACTACATTGCCCAAACTGGTTTAGAGCCTTGTGACTTCATTTCTCGGCAATAACAGGTCCTCTAGTTAAATCTCCCTGTTTCTAAATTCGGATTCTTTCAATCCATCCTACACAGTGTCACCAGATTAATCTCTTCAATCATGACTATAACCCTATAGCAATGCAATTTCATGCTGACATGTACAGGAATACAATTTCAATAATTCTCCCTAGCAATTCAAAGTTCTCCATGATGAGGATACTCTGATCCACCTTTATAGGCCTATGCTCCACTATGCTTCTACATGCAACACAGGCAGTCATATACCATGAGTGGATGCATATAAAAGCAAATACACACACACACACACACACACACACACACACACACACACACACACACAAACTTTGAGGGCAATTTCATAATCTTCTAAAACTACAAATATCCATATCCTTTGATCTAGCATTTGCCAACATTTCTACTTTTATAAAATTATGCTAGAGACACATCTGCATAAAATATGCACATACAGGATATATTTACTGAAGTACAATTTGTTAGAGAAAAAAGTCAAGAAGGAAGCAAACCAAATGTCTTGTAATAAGGTAATGATTTCACAAAATTGTGATATAGCCATATAAAGAAATATGCAGTTACTGGAAAGAATAAGGTACCTAAAGGGGGAAAAGGCTGAAGATATATTGCTAAGAGAAAAAAAAAAAATTTTTTTTTAAAGGATCTGTGATTTTTTTTAAAGTTGCCAAAAATATATTGTGTGAAAACGATGGTTTGTTTTTATATATGAAGAAACTGGTTAAACATACCTGAGGATAGTGATTATCTTTGGAGGAGGGGGAGATCAGAGAAGATTACTCCTATTATTTTAGTAATACTTGAATTTTTCTTACAATGATCATACTTTTTTCTAATTGCCAAAATACTATAAAAAATTAAACTAAAAAACCCCATAAGCTAATGCTATAAATATAAGAAAATAAAGTACTTACGGTTGTCATAAATTGGGTTAGAGACAACAGGAGGTAGAGCAGTTGTCAAATTACCATGTTCATCAGGGAGGAAAACTTGAAAACATAATCTCACCACATTGAGGTCGCAATCTTCAATATCAAGCAGCTGTTGTTCAGGAACTAAATATAAATAGTACAATTTTTTTAAGCATGTAAAACAGTCACATAGAACTAAAATCCTGCTAGGTCCTCCTCCTTGCCCAACATATCCAATAACCCTAAGTAGCATCCAATCTGTGCTAACAAAACAGAATGGCACACAATCCAAGAATGCCTTTTATCATTACCAGCACGTAGTCAGTCACTAACAGTATTAAGTTATAGCCATGGTCAGGAAGTAACTATCCTAAGTTATCTGAAATTTAGAGCAGAACCCCAAACTGACATTAATAATTGACAAATTCTTACAAGGTAGTTGCAGATTATATGCAACAGAGAATAGGAAGAATATAAAAGAGAATATAAATCTGTATAAGAATTATTATCATCCCTGTTTTACAGATGAAGAATTTTATGTTTTAACGTTTATTCATTTTTGAAAGACAGCGACAGAGTGTGAGTGGGGGAGGGGCAGAGAGAAAGGGAGACAGAGAATCTGAAGCAGGCTCCAGGCTCTGAGCTATCAGCACAGAGCCTGACGCGGGGCTTGAATTTACAAACCGCAAGATCATGATCTGAGTCAAAGTTGGACAATTGACTGAGCCACCCAGGCACCCCAAGGACTGATGTTAAAGAGATGAAATTACTTCTCCAAAGTTTCACAGATAGGCAATGGTAGAGAAGGAATTCAAACTAAGACGTCATTGAATCCTGAACCTATGCTCTCAAAAACTGAACTCTATTAGAAAGCTTTATGTATGTTTTGCATAAAAATGACATACGTAGAAATAACTACTAAAATTCAGAACAATATGTTATGGATTAAATACCCTATAGAATTAAATACCCATATAGAAGAAAATAGATGATATAAGGTAACTAGCTAGTTTCCGTAAGGAATTTTATGTACAAATTAAGTTTGCTTTAAAAGGAACAAAAACACTAGCAGGAAAATTTTACAGTTCTGAAAAAATATAAAAACCTATTCTTTATGACAGAATAGATGTAGTAAGTTTATTAAGTTGATATTTGAAAAGAAATACAGTTCAACAAGAAAATATTAACTGCATTTTCAAATAACATAAGCTGTAGCAATAAATCATAACAGCCATATTTTTTTTTAATTTTTTTTTTAACATTTCTTTTTGAGACAGAGAGACAGAGCATGAACGGGGGAGGGGCAGAGAGAGGGAGACACCAAATCGGAAGCAGGCTCCCGGCTCTGAGCCATCAGCCCAGAGCCTGACGCGGGGCTCAAACTCACCGACCGCGAGATCGTGACCTGAGCCGAAGTCGGACGCTTAACCGACTGAGCCACCCAGGCGCCCCAACAGCCATATTTTTTAAAAGCATGAAATACGCAATGTGGAAATTTTTTATGAAATTTTAGTTTTCAGAAAGTATTAAAACTTGAAATACTAAATTTGAAAACACAGTTAAATACCAAATTCTTTGGTCCTTACAGGAAATAATAAAATGGCAATGCAATTTTGACTGTTTTTATTTAAACTATGCTCACAGTCTTTGTAGCTATCAGAACATTTAAAATATTCCCATTAGTGCTCACTGCTATCAGTGTGGAGCCCACTTGGGATCCTCTGTCCCCCTCTTGCTCTGCCCCTCTTACTCATTCTTTCTCTGTCAAAAATAAACATTAAAAAATTTTAAATATTCCCATTAGTATTTTTTTAAGTTAGCTTTATTCATTTATTTATTTATTTAGAAAGACTGTGAGTGGGAGACAGGATGAGAGAGAGGGAAAGAGATGAAAGAATCCTAAGCAAGCTTCATGTTGCCAGCGTAGAACCCTATGCGGGGCTCGAACTCAGCAACTGTGAGTTCGTGACCTGAGCAGAAATCAAGAGTCAGACACAACTAACTGAATCACCCAGGCGCCGCTCTCATTTGCATTCTTAAGCCAAGCATTTGAAGGAGTCTACAAGAACATATCTGTATAACTAAAAAGTCAAAATATTATGATATGAACACCTGTGGTGCAGGTGTTCATATCATAACATAATATGACATAACAGGGGTGGTTGAAAGGAGTTTATTACAAATAACAAAAGACCCTTTTTTTTTTTTTTTTTTTTTTTTTTTTTTGCTGTTATCACTTACAAAAGGTTTTAGGAGCTTTATGTCAGGAATGGGGGTGAAGACCAAATATATATTTATTATAAATCACAGTATCACAGAAACCCATAGAGGTTAAGTTCAGAATGAGAGGCTTCTTTTTTTCCAGATATAGCCTGCCAATTTTCTAAGAGGTGGCTAAGAAAATGAGAAGTTAAGATAAATTCTCAGTAGCCTGTAGGGGAAAAATAAAGGGAGTTCAGGGTATACCGAGGATGGAGGACCTGAAAAATGCCCAGTTCTTTGGTTGGAGCCCTGGAGGAGCTATACTTCAGGAGTTAAGAATGAACTGGAGGGGCGCCTGGGTGGCGCAGTTGGTTAAGCGTCCGACTTCGGCTCAGGTCACGATCTCATGGTCCATGAGTTCGAGCCCCGCGTCAGGCTCTGTGCTGACAGCTCAGAGCC